GTAAAAAACACCCAGAAATGGGATTTGAACCCATTTAAAAAAGCAAAGGGAAAAAAAAAAAAAAAAAAGGAGAAACTTGTGAATGAAAAAGAAACTTTGAACGCTCCGGCACAGACGGTGAATGCTAATGACGCACCGCGCATCTGTCCAGACGATCCTCTTCTCCAAATGATCCAGAGTCAGTCCATTAGGCCAGGCGCCAATCTCCATATCTTTGAACACAATGTGTCGACCTCCCCCGCTCATTGATGCTGCCTCAATACGAGGAAAGGTGGCATCCCAGTCGGTCCAGAAGAGGATTCTGGGTAAAAAAAAAACAGCAGCAGTTAGCATCAGTTAACTTCCTGGTGTTTTAAGCAGTTATGACAAGTCATCCAAGTCTTACCCCGGACCCTAACTGCCCCCTGTTACCTGACCTCTGTGACCCTGCCTGTCTACCCCTGTAACCTGTCATATGAGATAGCAACACAGGCTACATCGAACGATTCCTCCAGATTTATACTTTGTCAACAATGACAGTGTTCTGTAAAAATGATTCTGAAGCCGACTTCAGAGCGAGGCGTTGAGTTAAAGACTCATTATTAACACACAGTAACGGTAACAGGTCAGTTATTATGGTACGATCAGCAGCAGTTCGGGTTCAAGCCTGTGTTTGTATCTGCATTGTTTGTCGAAGCCGTTACAGTGTAAAGAGTAAAGAGTTTTATGAGTGAATCCATCAGCGGACGGTGACGGCGATGATTGTCCAAGAACAGCACCAGTGATCCAGTTCAACCCTCAACATCTGTGACAGGCTCTGGAATGGCAGGCCATCTGTTTTATTATTACTTTTCACAGCTCAATGAGGCCTGAAAATGAACAGTGTCCCGGTCCGGCCCAGAACACATCGCTTCTGTCCTGACACGGTTCACAAAGTCGGCCGCCGCGCGGGAGGAAAATGGATGTTTAGGCCTAAATCACGCAGCGACGACATGGAAATAGTGTTAGGAAGAAATATCCATGTCTGGATCAATAGCAGTATTCACTTGATAAGGCCCCGCTGATCAATGAGCCTCTCCTCTGAGTGGATTCAAGTAATTAAATTAGAATTATTGCCCAGGAATGGAAATGCATCTTTGGCCACAGAGAGCTCACATTAATCCTGCTCTAGTCCACATCCTCAGTACCAGTTAGGCCACCACACGCAGTCATGAGCACAGATGTGAGGACCAGTTCACACAAAAAGGGGTGAAGGGGGGGAGGGTGAGTGATGGGGAGAGAGAGAGGGAGAGAGGGAGGAGAGGGAGAGAGGGAGAGGTTGAGACAGAATTATAAAGTGTTAGAGATTAGGAAAGACGGAAGGAGAGAAGACGGACAGAAACCTGAAGAACACACATTCAGCAGATGTTTCTAACCTTGTCAAGTAAATACCTATATATATAGGTGTATATACCTATTTATAGATAATTATAGATATAGGTAAGTATATATACAGTTACAGTGGAAGTCATTCCTCTGGCTCCTGCAGTAAAAACATGGTTTTAAAGTCTCCCCTCAGACTTCAGAGGCTGTTTCTATTTAACACACATCTACATGATGTGTGATCTTTACACTTTCAGTTTGCTGGAGCGATGATGTTGTACTTTTGTCTGAGCCAAGGTTTAATTTCTAAAAGAAAAACAGAGTAAACCACAAACAACCACAATCATTTTCACCGTAAATAAAGAATTTTATATGAAGTGTTTTCATCTCGTACTCGACTTGTTGACAGTAAAGAACCAGGAAAACATATCAGATCAGATTAATACCCCCCACCCCCACGACCCCCGCCATGCTTCTTACTATGATAAATAACTATCTATTTTGGAACTTGGGCCCTGAGGGACATGATGGACAGCCAGATTTTTTCTTGACTTTAATTCCAAAGATGAGCTCCAAATGTTTCCCCCTATATCATTCCTGCAGAGCCAGTGTTGATGTCAGCGGACCAAGAGCGGAGGACGGGCTGCGTCTCAGCTCCAACCACTGGCATCACTTCAGTGTAGAACTCTGAACACAGCAGGCGTCTTCACACATCAAGGCTGACGACGACGTGTTTTCATTTATTCCAATCATCCCACGCTGCCTTGATGGGTGGAAATTAGCATTAGCATCAGAGCACAACATACCCCTGCCCGGGGTCCAGAGCGATGGCCCGGGGGTGTTCCATCCCTCCAGCGATCAGTGTGGTGCGCATGTCTCCGTTCAGCTTGGCCACCTCGATCTGGTCCAGGTTACTGTCGATCCAGTACAGTTTCCCTGTGATCCAGTCCACGGCCAGGCCCTCGGGGGTGGCCAGCCCATGTTGGACCACCACCTCGATACCTGTCACTCCTGGAACAGTGGAACATGACAGGATGGAAGATGAGAGTATTTGGTGTCAGATACTGCAGTACTGCACAGTAGTACACAGCTCTACCACAGTTTCCACCTAAATGCTATCTGTAATCTAGCTGTTGATAATCATCTCAACATTTGGGACTTGGAGGAACGCTGCAGCAGAGAGAGGAGAAGACGCCGCTGCACGGCAGGGAAATTAAGGCCAGAGAACTGAGTTGAATGTTTTTCCGATCATAAATTTACAGAGTGAATGAGACCGACTGATTCATTAGTCCAGAAGAAGTCGATTCTGAAGAGGAAACAGTGAAAACTGCAGCACCTGGAGATTCTGGTCTTTCTTTCTTTTTGCTTTTTTTTGCTTTAGTGAAAATGTCAGACTGAGAAGAAGAAAACAGCATCATCACCAGAGGTTTGTGTCAACGGGTTTAAAGCTATGGTGCAGGGGCCAGTTTTAAAGTTCCACCTGGTTAGAATAGATATATATATTATAGAACAGAATAAAGTAGAACAGCCTGGTAAATAACAGCAAGTAACTCAATGCTAATGTGAGTAAATACAGACATCTGTAGTTCAGTACAGAACATGAGACATGTATTCAAGGCTGAATTCAATTTATAAAAGAGAGCGAGAGAGAGAGAGAGAGAGAGAGACAACAACAATAGACACATTAAATAGTTCATGAACTGAATGACTTAACTGAAGTGCAACGACAGTGTGTGTGTGTGTGTGTGTGTGTGTGTGTGCACGTACCCCCGGACTCAGACAGCCTCCCCCTGTAGATCTTATCCTCCACCACGTCTGTCCAGTAAAGAAGGCTGTGATTAAAATGGAAGTCTAATGCGATGGTGTTCCTGAGGCCCGGCACCAGGAGGCTGTAGTCCCGCTTGTGAAGGTCTATCCTTCTTATCTCATGCCGGATTGAGAAAATGATGAAAGCCTCGAAGGAGTCTGTCCACGAGAAAGACGGGGAAAAAGAAAAAAAACACATCAGATCAGGTCTGAGTGGACAGAAACGACCACTGACAGAACCACTGACAGAACCACTGACACACCGACTGACGTCAATATTCATCAATATTCACACTATGTTCCGTTGGAAGACTTTGTCCAATCATATTTGAGCTCCGTCAGAGTCCAGGGTCAGGAAGCCTGGATCAAAGCTCAGTACCGTACGGAGCCTTTGGCTCCTCCTCTGGGTTTATGGTTATGTTTTCAGAATATATGCAGATGAACACAACTTTGCCCCCTACTGGCTGTATTACTCGGGAGCCATGCCAAACATAAGGCACACGTGGGAGTCTGTAGGCGGCGCCGTTTGAAACGCGGCGCCTATTTACATACACACGGGAAGCGTGAACGAGGTTCACGGCCTCAACAAACCAGGGCTGACCAACATTTAGTTTAAAATCAATGGAAATAATAAGAGTTGATTAAAAAGTTGCACATTTTCACAGGGGTTTTCAGCAACTCCACTACGTTCCTGTTGCCTTTGATTCTGTTATAAACGAACAAAAGTTCACAGCACAGCAGGGGGCAGGAGAGAGTTGCTTTTGTCCTTTAGATATTTTTGTTAGCAGCCAAACATAAGGCTCGGGCCCCGTTGGATGTGCGTGCGACACATTTGCATCATGTAACATGTAGAACGGCACCACAGTCACACCACAACAGGCTGCCGTGTTGGTCAGAGTTTCAACACCACTGGATGATCCTGGTGTTTTACTGGTCAGTTGTGGTCAGGACCAGGAACATTCTGGTTCGGAGGCTGAGGATTTTTGGTCTGAACTTCCCTGACGTCCATCTGTCTCTGGAATGGCTGTTCACACACCAGTCACGTATGTGTGTTTGTATGTATTCCATGTGTATTTCCAGACTCAGGCAGGTGTGAGAATGCTAACGGATCAACACTTCAAATCCAGACTGTGAAATGACTTCAGAGAAGTCAGTGCTACTGTGTGATCACGACGCCACAGTTCAGTTCAACTCCCTCCCTAAAAATCTACGAGAAGAGATTACTGAGGTGGAAGGTGGAGGTTGGGATGGGCTGCTGCAGGAAAAAAAAAAATATATATATGTTGTTTGTAAAAAGGAGAGTTGACCTCCTGACCTCCTGCTTCTAGGCTGCTTTGATGGATATCTGGAGGACAGACAGTGGATTTGGACAGTTGTCAAATAAAAAACCCAACTTTTTATGATTCATTTATCTTCAAACACTTAATCCGTCCAGGGTCACTGGAGGTCTGGAGGTAATCCCAGAAATCACTGAGAGGGGTTGGAGGGCGGGGGGGGCCACATCCTGGACGGGGCCCCCGTCCATCACAGGGTCAGAACCATTCACACTCACCTCCAACACCGATGGTAAATTTACATTTAAACCCAAAAAGACTGTAGTGTTCGTCACATCGGTCAACAACACACTGAGAGACGACTGCTGTTGTTCTTTGTACGAGGCTAACATGCTAACGAACATGCTAACCTGTACCTTATGACACGGGTATTCAGTTTGAAGTCATTTCCTCATCAACGTCTGGTTTACAAGTTTTCAGTCAAAGATGTTTTAAAATAAAACACTCAACAGCATTTTTTAAACTTTTTTTTTTTAAAGTCCAGACATTTGTAAATAATTTTGCGAGCCTCTGAACTAGTGGGTAAAACTAATTACAAATCAAATCCACTAGATCACAGTGGCTGCATTCTGAGCTTGTCTTCTCCACCGAGGCCGGCTTCAACCACATGAACTATTCCCTGCTCCAAAGCAGCTTCGCTTTTGTGAAACGTTGTGAAAGTGAAAATCCATCAAACTCCAAAGCGCAGCCTTTGTTCACGGGCCTTGTATCTTCACAGCGCTCTGGACTAAATAATACTCAGAAAAAAACAGGACTGTTTGCATATCAGCGCAATTAAATTTGTGTCCTTGCTTCAAAGACACACTTCAGTGCTGTAACACCACGACTTATGAAGCTGCGCAGGAGAAGAATTGCACCTGCAGGTTCTCCAAACTTATTTTATTACAGAGATATGCAAAGTGAACGGAGGTGCAGATGTGTGTTCATGACTTCAAAGAATCCAATAACACCTCTTCTCACCGCCAAATTGGAATGTTTGTGCTTGTATGAAAAGCCTGATTTACGATCAAGCTGCAGACTTCTGATTGGCTCTCTGAGAAAACTGTATATTCTTCTTCCCGCGTTAATGTAAGATTAGAGCCGTGACTGCCATCAATCCTGGAGAGGCAAGTAATCAAAACGAGGTTCATAAATCTGAGTGTGACAAGCAAACAAAACCTGAGTGTGTTTGAAGCCATCTCATCAAATACATTATTTCATAACAGGATCAGAACTGTGTGAAGTTTGAATTTTAAATGTGATCTCACATGCCGTTACAGTAAATCATGTTTTTGTGTTTTTGCAGACGAAGACTCTCCTCTCTCACTGCTGCGGTGGTCGGAGAGTGAAGGAGACGTTTTCTTCTCTCAGCTTCAGATGGAAACAGACAGGAATCATCGTCTTTGGATCTGAACCTGATTGGTTGTGACCCCACACTTCTCTCAATCATCATCTGACACGATCTCACACACGCCTCTGCACTACCTCAGCACTTCTACACACACCTAGACCACACTTATACAACGCTGCAGATCAACTGCTGTCACGGAGGTTTGAGTAAACACCAGGGAAAAATATTCCACAAGAAATTCTGCTCCGAACGACGAGGTACGAGATAAAAGTGAGTTCTTCAACACAAACCTTCTGTTGACCTTTACGCTATCAGTGCTAACGCTATCAGTGCTAACGCTATCAGTGCTAACGCTATCAGTGCTAACGCTATCAGTGCTAACGATACGAGGGACAGTTGACGTCGACCCCAAAACACGGTAACGCAGCCTCCTTTGAACGCCACTGTTTTTTAATTTGTTTTTCTGGAATTTCACCGTGGACCAGAACAGCTGACCCCGTTATTCTAACATGACTTATTCACTACGTCCAGTCCAAATTATATGACAATTAAATAATTTTGCGAGCCTCTGAACTAGTTGGTAAAACTAATTACAAATCAAATCAACTAGATCACAGTGGCTGCATTCTGAGCTTGTCTTCTCCACCGAGGCCGGCTTCAACCACATGAACTATTCCCTGCTCCAAAGCAGCTTCGCTTTTGTGAAACGTTGTGAAAGTGAAAATCCATCAAACTCCAAAGCGCAGCCTTTGTTCACGGGCCTTGTATCTTCACAGCGCTCTGGACTAAATAATACTCAGAAAAAAACAGGACTGTTTGCATATCAGCGCAATTAAATTTGTGTCCTTGCTTCAAAGACACACTTCAGTGCTGTAACACCACGACTTATGAAGCTGCGCAGGAGAAGAATTGCACCTGCAGGTTCTCCAAACTTATTTTATTACAGAGATATGCAAAGTGAACGGAGGTGCAGATGTGTGTTCATGACTTCAAAGAATCCAATAACACCTCTTCTCACCGCCAAATTGGAATGTTTGTGCTTGTATGAAAAGCCTGATTTACGATCAAGCTGCAGACTTCTGATTGGCTCTCTGAGAAAACTGTATATTCTTCTTCCCGCGTTAATGTAAGATTAGAGCCGTGACTGCCATCAATCCTGGAGAGGCAAGTAATCAAAACGAGGTTCATAAATCTGAGTGTGACAAGCAAACAAAACCTGAGTGTGTTTGAAGCCATCTCATCAAATACATTATTTCATAACAGGATCAGAACTGTGTGAAGTTTGAATTTTAAATGTGATCTCACATGCCGTTACAGTAAATCATGTTTTTGTGTTTTTGCAGACGAAGACTCTCCTCTCTCACTGCTGCGGTGGTCGGAGAGTGAAGGAGACGTTTTCTTCTCTCAGCTTCAGATGGAAACAGACAGGAATCATCGTCTTTGGATCTGAACCTGATTGGTTGTGACCCCACACTTCTCTCAATCATCATCTGACACGATCTCACACACGCCTCTGCACTACCTCAGCACTTCTACACACACCTAGACCACACTTATACAACGCTGCAGATCAACTGCTGTCACGGAGGTTTGAGTAAACACCAGGGAAAAATATTCCACAAGAAATTCTGCTCCGAACGACGAGGTACGAGATAAAAGTGAGTTCTTCAACACAAACCTTCTGTTGACCTTTACGCTATCAGTGCTAACGCTATCAGTGCTAACGCTATCAGTGCTAACGATACGAGGGACAGTTGACGTCGACCCCAAAACACGGTAACGCAGCCTCCTTTGAACGCCACTGTTTTTTAATTTGTTTTTCTGGAATTTCACCGTGGACCAGAACAGCTGACCCCGTTATTCTAACATGACTTATTCACTACGTCCAGTCCAAATTATATGACAATATTCTCACTTGTGTTATTTACAGTAGTAATTATCAATTGTTGGCTCGCAGGCCAAACACGGCCCACTGAATCTGTCCAATCCAGCCAATGACTGGATTCCAAAATAAACTTTAAATAATAATATTAGACAAAAATGTGGTTTTTATTTTATTTCATTTGAGTGTCCAGCCCCAAAGGAGTCGGTCCAGAAAACCTCCTCTGATTAAATCAAACTCTTTGGCCCAGTGTTTGGACTGGATGCCTTCACTGACACAACTCTACTGTAATGAAATGTAATAGGCTGTAGATATACAGAGAGTAGATCCTCACACCACTCTACAGCTGGATCATTACTGTATATATGTATGGGTTTTTTTCTCCACACATAAATCAATATATAACAACACTCACTGGTAGTATTGGATTTTCTGTGATTTCCCAGTGAGACCGAAGTAAGAACCCACAGAAACTTCCTCTTCTCTTCACGGAAAGAAAACACTTTTTTAATAAAACACTGCACAGATTCAGCCAAGGATTCCACGATGGAGGAGCTACCTGATCAATCTTTACATCAGCTGCACAGTTTCGATAAAGACAGGGGGCGCCGTCTCCTCACCTGTGCTGTGGCAGCTGTCTCCGTCCGGGTCCAGACTCCAGCCTGGGTAACAGGAGCACTTGACCGTGGTCTTGTACTGCTCACAGACCTGGCTGCACCTCAGGTGGCGGCTGCAGTAGTCCACCACCTCACACGTCTTGTTGCTGGAGTCCAGATCCAGCCCAGGTGGGCAGGAGCACACCACACCTTTCCCTGGTGCCACGGTGCACTGATGACTGCAGCCCCCCCTGGCTACGAGGCACAAATCTGCATCAAAAGAGGGAGAAGCCAGACATGAAGAGAGGAGACGATTTGAATATTTAAAAAAGAAAAAAAAATTCTAGAAACCCAGTAGTTGAGGAAAGCTCGCAGGACTATCAATCAGGAGACTATGGGTTCGAGTCCCAGTCTTTCTGTAACAGTGGTCTGATACCAGCCAGTACTGGAGGAGACTGGAGAATCAGTGACTCTTCAAAACAAGACGTTTTTGTCTCATCAGTTGATGTTTTGTCTGGTCCAGTTGATCATCACTGACGGATCGTTATCATCTGAATTCTCTCTAAATCTTTTTATCTTTCACTGTGATTGGCTGTGGGTCAGAAACGACCCACAGAATGGTACTGGTCCACGGACCGGGGTTTTTGGACCCATGTCTTTCCCACTGAGGACCAGAAAAGTTGGTCCTCCTCTGGTTGTGTTTCTCATTTTCTCTCCCAGCTTGAGTGCCAGGAAGTGGGCGGAGGTAAAGTGGACGACACAGTCGCCGCTGCCAACGGTGGACACTACTCCAGCTGAGCTGGACCAAATCAATTAGAACCTTGTGGTTCTCCGAGCCTCATCTCTAATTGGCTAAGAGCGGCCAAAGGATCACGTGTGCACCGACTCTCCAGGCCTGGAGAAGAGACACTCCAGGAAATTATCCAGGAAACATGTTTACACCGTTCACTTAGGAAAATTGGACGGCTGAAGACAGACACATGGGAGTGTTGTCTTCTCTTCACAGACGGAGACAAACAATTCCACGAGGGCAATTAATAAAAACTTGGATCATTTTTTGGTCATTTTGTTTCTCAGTCTCAGAACTCAAAGTAAAAACTAAGGTAAGAAGGTGGGAACTGTTGACCACCAGAACAAAAGAGTGACTTTGAAATAACTGCTATGAACAGAGGAAACATCAATGAATGAGTCACAAACACCACCAACCACAAGGTATTTTATAATGTAAATGAATAAAAAGAATCCAATTAAATGGTAGTTTATCCTAAAAAAAAAACAAAAACTGTAAATGTGTCTGTTGTTGATGTTTAACAGAGCTGTGTATGGGCAAGAATCTGTCGATACGATACGTATCACGATGCAGGGACGAGGATACGACATATTGCGACTGCCAGAACAGCCAGTCAAACTGATGAAGTAAATAATATTTCTTGACTTATATAAATATATAATCTGACCTCATGCGACACTGGTGAAAGCACTGATAAACAACTGTGACTGTACCACAGATGGCTCCTTCATCCGAGCGGTCGGCACAGTCCACTTTGCCGTTGCAGATCTTATCGGGCGTCAGGCAGACGTTGCTGTTGTTTGCACAGGGATACTTGGGCGGTTTACACACAGCTGACTCACAGGACTCTTCATCGGAGCGGTCTTCACAGTCGATGTCCCCGTCACACACCCAGCTCTTTGTGATACATTTGCCTAAAGTGGGGGGAGCGGGGGGGAGGAGGGGGAGCATGAATGAAATGGTTAAGATGAAAAATCATGTCAGATTTTCAACTCTTTTTTTTTTTTGCTTGGGAAATCATAACTTTTCAACTCTTTTTTTTTTGCTTGGGAAATCATAACTCTTATTTCCACATTTGCTTTTGTTTAAAGTAAAAAAAAGAATAAAGTAATAAGGGAGAAAATAAGGAGACAAACAGACAGAGAAAGTCCTTCTCAGTGCTCGCCTTAGGTTTGATTTAAAAAAAGACATTTTATTTGATTTTAATTAGAAATGCTGTTTTCTTTTCTCTTCTGTTTTTGTCCTTCAACAAATATCACTGCATCACCGTAACATTTGTTTAACACCTCTGACAGCCGTGTCCCATCCATCTGAATACTGTAACAGCCTCGTTATACACTGTATATAACGTGTATATAACCTGGATAAAAGAATCCACCTGTAACAGTGACTGAAAACGACCACTGGTGGCGTGTTTCTACCTGTGTCTTTGCAGGTGAACTTGGCCTTGGGGTCACACATCCGTCTGGTGCCTTCACAGTCCTTCTCGTCGCTCCCATCTTCACAGTCCTTGTCTCCATCACACCTCCAGCGTTCTGGAATGCAGGTTCCATCTGCGACACAGTGGAATTCCTCCTCACTGCACTCTATCACAGCTGGCAGCACTGAAACAGAAAAGAAGAAGATATATTTAAACAATTACTCCATTACAGCTACAGTGATTTGTGGAGGACATGAGGGGAAAACAGTAAAGCAGTGAAGATGCTTTTTTATATATAAAAAAACAACAAAGTTTTATATTTATAACTCAGTATTAATCTCTGGACGCAGGGCACTTGGCAGCTACATTAAGGCCGGAAAGTTCCAAAGAGAAGAATTATTTCACATCCAGCATTTAAGTTTTATGTCTCAAAGATGTTTCTGTCTTTTTAATGACTCTCTGTTCGCAGTATATCTTCCTCCAGCAGGGGTTCATTACAGGGAAAAGAAGAAACTTGCAGCTGACTTGTGTTATGTTGTTGTTTGTGCTGCATGTGTTGGACGTGTGAAGGAGTCAATCCTGTTAAATCCTGTTTCCAACAGGATTTATTAGGACCGACTCAGCCATCATGTCAACACAACTCATTCATTTCACCACTTCTACTTCGCATCCACAATTATGCTTAATGTTTAAAAGTTGATCAACCTCCTGTCAGAAAAACAAAAACACCGTCTCCACCGTGAGAGCAAAGCCAAAACTGCCTCAGCCCCCACCCCCCCGGGGGCAGACAGGAGGAAGTGGTGAAGCCCGCAGCTCCCATCAGGAGACACTTTGATGAATCGTCTACACATTCCAGTGACAAGCAAGTGAGCTGTGAGTTTTCTAGGAGCGTGTGTGTGGTTTGGCTGGTAATTAGATTCCATGATTCAACTCCTGATGGGAGAACACCGCCCCCAACCGCCCCCCCCCCTACCCCCAAAAAAAAACAGAGAGTAGATAAAATGAGTCCCATGTGAGTGTGATTCATTTTTACACGTGTGAATTACGTCACCTATATTTAAAAAAATGCTCTGAATGTTGACTAAAAGTCAGGTTAACAAACGTCAGAGCTCATCACAACAACAACAACAACAACAACAACAACGACGACGACGACGACTGAAGGTCAAACACGGGGGACACGTGACGAGACGATCCGCGGCGTCCTTCTTACGTGCAGCTCCACCTCTGCAGGTGCTGTTCTCATCACTGAAGTCTCCGCAGTCGTTGTCCCCGTCACAGACCCACTGGTCTGGGATGCAGCGGCCGCTCGTGCACTGGAACTGGGTGTTGGTGCACGAGTGGACGCAGCCCGCCTCGTCACTGCCGTCTCCGCAGTCGTCATCTGAACAGGTGAACACACGGACACACGGAGCTCAAACACTGAGGGTGTCGTTAACAGACGTTAGCAGAGACGTGACGTGATCTGTTCATCGCCCCCGTCTGGCCGTTACCTGAATCACAGTTCCAGTTGACACTAATGCAGCGTCCATTGGAACAGCTGAACTGGGTCAAGGCCTCACAGGTGGGAAAGGCTGAAACAGAAATAAACATGTACTTTATATGTTTTTGTAAATCGCAGAAATGAAAGTCTGCTCTATTTGATTCTGTTCTACTCATCTCTTCTTTAGTCTTTTCTATTTTATTCTATTCTTCATTCTTAATTTTACTGTATTCCACTGTTGTTTTTTTAAGTCCCAGTCTCAGATCCTAGTCTCAGACTCTGTTCCATCTGAACATCAGTTCCTAACTCTGGAACAGAGGGATCTACATTTAGAATCACTAGAGAAGAGAGAAAAGAAAAAGAACATGAACCAAAACCAGGAATATTGGACTGGGAATATCAGGATATTTCAGTGTGTCAGTATTTTCTTACACCTCTACTGTACTCTCTTCCTCCCTCATCTATTCCAGCCTATAATGTAAAAAGGCTAGCAGCTGGAAGCTAATTACTAGCACTGTGGTCCGACATCTGTTTCAAATTCCACAGCAGTCATGGAGAGAGAGTTCATGAAGAAAATCGTTCAACGTTGAAGCATCAATATTCCCTCCCAGGTTTCCTGGAAGCCTGTATTCCAACACACCGTCCCATATTTGGTGACGGTGATGTCAGGTACAACATTTATATTCCCATTTGATCCCATTCAGGGTTTTTCGCCCCGTCTTTCTCAGATACTGTACCTGCAGTACAATCTTTATTGACTTTGGCAGGAAATGCAAGACGACTTTTGAATTGATTTGTTGGCATCTACCGCTGGTGCCTGGAATATCTGAGGCTGTGTCGACGAGACGCAGAAACTTTATCAGACGAGTGTCTTCTGCGTTTCCTTCAAATCTGTTAGGTCTTACTGACAGCATGACTGCTTGGAATTTAACATCCATTAAAAATGAAACATGGCCATCCATAAATAATGAAGGTTTCAAGTAAACACTGAGGCCCGGCTAAAAATGAAACACGAGCATCCATAAGTAATGACCGCTGCGAGTGAACCCAGAGGCCCACGTCAGATCCTGTGTGACAACTACTAAACTACTGACAAACAAAAATCAAATTAGCATCAATCTTGACGGGAGCCACCACTGAGCTTAAGGTGTTCAAAAAAAAAAAAAAAAAACTCCTCCAGTGGAGCTACGAGAGCGGCGGCGCGGTGCAGCTACGGAGAAGTACTGCCTGAGGAAGGGCGGGCTCGGTGTGGGAGGGAACATGTTCTGCTGCTGTGCTTGATGACGCCTGGATGAAGCCAAGGCAAGAACTTTAATTACTGCTTCCACGCCGACTGTGACTGTGACTGTGACGGCAGCAGCTCAGGACACACAAAGACAGGCTGAGGTGACGGAGAATTGTCGACATCTATTCTTTGCTGCTTTAATACAAGAAGTGATTAAAAGTTTTTTTTTTTCAACCTTCGAATCTTTCTGAAGAATTCCTCTTATTCATCCACCTCGACCGTCCTCACTGCACAATCCTTTATAAGTGTGTTTTCACATTTATAAAGGGTTTATCATTTTCATTTGAACCTTAAATCTGAATCCTGAAGTAAATGCAGAACTCACCACTTTTTGACTCAGATTTTTTTGCAGATCCCACGGCACCACAGAGGACCAACATCACAGGAGTCACTGCTGTCTACAAAACACGCACTTTATTCAGCGCCACCCGTCGGAGCTGATGTCATCGACGAGGGCACGTCTAATCCCAGCTCCCAATAACTCAACATTAATAATTCAACCACTGGAAGTGTCAGTTTGACACAGCAGTGCATGGAGAGGACACGGAAAACACTGAAAGATGTTAAAACTGTTCAGAGACAGGATCGAGGAGTTTAGAGAAAAAAAAAAGATCAACCAGACTCAGAAGAACTGAAGCTACCAAGTGATTAATTCATTAATTAATTAAGGATTGTTGTATGATAAAACAATTAAAGACTAAAGTAACATTACTCCATCACTCCCACATCAGTTTATGCTACATGTGTGTCCAGACAAACACAGATCCAACTCCAGGAAATATAATCTACACCACCAGCCTGATCCTGAACCTGGTGCTTCCTCCTCCTGACTCCAGAATCTGCTGATGTGCAGCTCTGGCTCCAACTAAACAAGCCACAAATGAACGTTTGTGGACAACACTCAGCAGGATCACATCACTGAGAGGGAAGTGAGTGCCGTAAACGCAGAGATGAATAAATAAGTGGTTGGTTTGATTGGCCTACAGAGAAGGTCCTTGAAGCCACAGAGACAGAAACTGGCTGAAACACATGGTTTTATGTTTCATATATACAGAATGTGAAGCGCAGCCACAGGTTCAGTTAAAAGGTCAAATCCTCATGTTGTGCTTTTAACGGCTTTAAGCAAAAAAAAAAACCATTACATTAAATTATTCAATGCGACGTCGACTCTTACGGCAACATTTTCAGTGTTTCCCAAATGAAACGACCAGAAATTGTCGGAGGCGTTTGTCCTCTGTAAATGAAAAGGTGAGTTTAATCTCAGAAACATTTGCTCAGTCGTTCTTCTTCAATCATCTTATGCAGCGTCTTTTTTTCCAAACCTGGTCGTGTCTGATTTTTCTGTCTTGAGTGTGAAGTATAGATTACTACTACTACGACAAGACACGAGGTTTTCTAAAAGATTCTCAAGGGCTGAGACTTGAATGTCAAAACCTTTCAATTTTTGATAAATATGTTCATTTATGTACAGGCTAATAAATCCCATGAATATGTACCACTGAGGAAAGAAAATGTACCCAAAGAATGAAAATGTGAAAATCTGCACAAATAAACCGATAGAAACTGCTATAAAAGGCCATTATCTGTAAATTATGAAATGATATGCAGACGACTCCATGAATTTTAACCCAAAAATGTACAGAAGTGTGACCCATGGTGTTATTAAACCCCGGTGCTCACTCACAGCATCCGATCTCCTCAGACATGTCTCCGCAGTCGTCCTCCTGGTCACAGATCCAGGCTTGAGGAATACAACGTCTGTTCTGGCAGGAAAACTGGTCGGCCTGACAGGACTGAGCTGGACGGGACGGGACGGGACAGGACAGGACAGGACAGGACAGGAAAAGACAGTTATTCAATGCAAAGTGTACACAACAGCTGTAATGAGCGGTGCGACGGCAGGCTGCTGGTGTCAGCCAAGTGCAAACTCTTTATCACTAAATTGTGCTACAGGGCATTAAGAGGTCCAAAGGCCACGGAACACGTGCTGCCGTTTGACAGATCGTCAGTTTCATACGGCTTGGCACGAGGCGGCGCAGGAGTGATATCTCACTCATGTGGAATATGCATGTCGATGTGAGGGTGAGAAAACATTCATCATCTTCAGGCTAACGCTCACTGATTGATCCTCCAAGGATAAAAAGCTCTTAGGAAGTATTGATGAGAACATGAAAGCAGGGTGATCCACGGTAAGTGTTTCCAACCATGAATGTTCTTCAGCTGTTAATGTCTGAAAAGAGCTCTCTCTAAAGGAGAGTGAGGACACTGTATGGAGTAGCAGTTATCACGTGGATGTTTGATTAAAAAGAAGACTCTCCTTTGTCCGTCACATAAATTAAACTTCATTGGAGTTCGGTGCATGTGAATCAGCTGTTTCACTGTCAAACCTACAGCTGAGAACCTCCGTGACAAACCTCTGGGCTGGATAAAGGCCGTCTTAATGTTTTACAAATATCAAGTCCTTTTTCACCTCACGTGAAAACTGGATCTAAAAGCACCTGAACGCCACAAAAGTGACCAATTGTTTTCTTCTTTATTGCAGGAGCAGGGAGCAAATCCACTGGGGCGGAGTGAAATCCGAGCGAATAATCAACGGCGCAGTCTGCAGCGGCTGTAAAGGGGGAAGTGATGAGTGAAAATTTTCATTGTTCTGCTCTGCTAACGGTCTCTTGTGCATTGTGTAAAACATTTTGAAGTGCCCCACTATATGGATGACAGACCTGTTAAATCTTCTCACTGTGTACACAGCCATGATGAAAACCAATTACAAAAGTACATCAGTGGAGTGAACAACAGCTGATGCGGCAGCATCACTTTTCTGCTGAAAGCACCAGAAAAAAAAAAACAAAAAAACAAACACGACGTTCAAACCCGTTTTCAGAAATATCCTCACATGTTTGGAAGCCAAAAAAAAAAAACTAAACAAAAAACTGACAGTGACCAAAAATGAACACTTTAAATTGGTTCTGTCATTCAATACACTCACTGTGTGTGTGTGTGTGTGGAGATATGGATAATTTCATGTACAGTACATGCTGAAGCTGCAGAGAAAATATATTTTATATACATATATATGTAAATATATATTATAACCATATATATTTACATGCATGTAAATATGTATGGTCATATTATATATGTATAGGTAAATATATAGACCCACACAAATATATATACACACATATATGTGTACATACAAACACAAATATATATACACACACATATATGTGTACATACAGCTGATACGTTGAAATGCTAACCGGTGCTAACCGGTGTTAGCGGAGACAGTAGCCTAGCCCGGTACATCACTGAGGTCATGACGTACCTGCACAGGTGACGTTGGCCTCGTCCTCGTTGTTCCCACAGTCGTTGGTGCCGTCACAGAGCCATCTCTTGGGAATGCAGCGGTTGTTGGTGCATTTGAACTGATCAATGGGGCAGCTGTGATTATCTGCCCCCAAACAAACAAACAAACAAACAAAGAAACAAACAAAGAAACTTTCTTTTTTCATCAAATAAACGTCTTCTTCTACTTTTTCCTTTTTTCTTTTCAAAGCAGCTAACATATTTTAATGAAATTCCAAAAACTACAGCGTCACAGAAGCCTGACTAATTTTATTTGCAGTCATGTCATTTCACTTTAATTGCAGAGTGACCATTCAGCCCTCTTTAATCACACTAATTGAGTGTTAATGAATTTCCCTGTGCCATTTTGTGACACAGCTGAGGGGAAAATGATGAATTACGGCTGATTTTGAAGAGACTCGAGTTCCACTGCTGAAGATAGTGGCCTGGAAATATCTCTGTGACGGATGACGCAAAAGTGTGCTTCACTGAGTCCAGTGCTCTGGTCAGATAAACTCTGTGATCACTCTGTGCCTTATCGCTGCTAACGTTTGATAAGCTCAGCTTAATAATAATTCAATAACAGGCTAGTCAAATGAGCTGGATGAACTGGACGCCTGGAACACTGAGGAGCGTCTACGAACCAGGACGGACATCATATATGATGACATATATGATGACATATATGATGACATATATACACACAAATATACATGTACGAAGAGGGATAGATGAGAGAGAGAGAGAGATGAGAGAGAGAGAGAGAGCATCTATGCACACACACACAGACATACACATGTATATATAAATACAAATAGTATATGGACATGCATACATACATAAACATATACATACCAACGTACACACATATTGACAAACATATATATGTTGGTTTTCCTTGTCTTTATAGTTGTTCGTGCTGCAACAACACTTCCTCCCTAAAACCCGTGCACTTACACAAACATAAATACACACAAATGTATTCATATAGTTTAAAGGCGCAGCCTCAAAAGTAGGAGCCTTTAAACTCTTGGGATTTTGGGCGTTCCTCCCGGTGAACGAGCAGAGACTCCGATGTTGGCCTTGATATTATTTTAAGGTACTCACGACAGCTGTGGCTTTCTTCATCGCTGCCGTCCAGGCAGTCGTCGTCGCCGTCACACTTCCACGCGGCTCGTATGCAGCGACGGTTATGGCACTGAAACTCGTCGTTTTTACAGCGCTGCGGCTCCAGACCGGTGCTGGAGGCTTCTGTGGGAGAACAGCGGCGAGAAATCAACAGGAGACCGCCTACGAAGGACGCACTACGGGGAAATTATTGTCATAGGTATAATAGCACATAAAACATGTTAATGTCCTGGGTCCCCGTGTGGAGCTACTGGGATTTGCCTTTCATTTTGGGCGATGTTTTTTTTTTTTTTTTTTCACTGTTATTTACTAATTTGTGGGAAAGATTTGCATGTGAACAGATACAGTTATTATTTCATCTCCGTCCCACAGGATCAAGTCAGGATTACAGCTCACTGGGACCAGATAAGCTGGGCGTTCTCACTACGTCTGATTCATTATACGCTCCTACCTGTGCAGGTGACATTGTTCTTCTCCAGGATCTGGTTGTCAGCGCAGGCACACACTCTGCCTCCTGGGATGGCGAGGCAGAGGGTACTGCAGCCTCCATAATTCACACTGCATGCGTTTTCCCCTGGTAAAGAAAGATCCCAAATAAGGCGTCTGCTGCACTCAACGTTACATTTTCATACAGCCCACCTGAGGCGACGTGACTTTTTTTTTTTTTAAATCTCCAACTTTTTTCACTGTGTGCTCCATAGCTGGGCTTCAGGGCAGACATTTTTAATTCTGAATAAACTTCACGCCTTAATGAAACTTGTTTAATTTTTGTTTCTTTTCTTTTCAAAGTTTGTTTTATTAGGAACCAGAGAATGATATGGAGAAGTACGAAAGTAGAGAGTAAAGCAAACAGATGTCATCGTTTCAAAGGTGTCTTATTTTAATACCTTGAGCAGCTTTTCTTATAGTGGAAGAAGAGAAAAAGAGAATGGTAAATGAAAATATATTTTTTTTCTTTTTCTTTAATTTTTCCATCTTGAGGATTTGGAAATGTATATATATAATATAAGACAAAATTATATTATTATTTGTTTTAACAAGAATAGCAGTACTTCAGGGATTAAAATAGATAAAGATTGGCAACAGATTTGGTTTTTCCTTCACTAACACTGAAGGAAAATGTGAAAGAAACTGGATTTTAATCCTTGGACGAGTCAAGAGGAGGAAGAGGAAGAAGAAGAAGGAGAAGAGGAAGAACTTGCTCTAACTTCTAGCTTCAATATTCCTCACACTGTGTTTCTGGAACGTACCGTCTCTGTCCTGGAGGGACTTCCCGCCGTCTCAGGGGTTAAAGCACAGAGTGGGATAACCACAACCCGGGGGTTCAATCGAAGTCCTGATTAAATTAACCGTTGCGATGACGAAAAACCAATTTTCTTTCAGGTAATGTATTTTTTTGTCATGTGTTTTTTTTTTTTGGCCACACTCTGACATTTGACATTTTAATCCTCCTCAAAACAATGATCTGTTTTTCTCTGAACAAAGCTAACTTTCTCAAGATGAAAAATTCTCTGTCATAAAATAAAAGTTTAGCCATCAGACACCTATTCACTCTCATTTAACAGGGTCCAAAAGCAGCGGCTGCTCCGTGGAGATAAAGCTACTGGTTCTGTGAGAGCCAATCAGTATTACTCAGATGATTGGACATCCAATTAATCTATTCACTGACATGAACAAAGGAAGCGTGTCCAGTAAAACCTCTTAGCTTTGTGTGTTTTATCAGGACTACGTTCTAACAGCGCTGTGTAAATTGCGTAACTTTTCTGTTCTTAAGTCACAGCTTTGAAGTTGTGAAAATCACCTCATCTTTCTGTCTCCTCTAGGTCTGTACTTTTTTTTTTAAAATAAAATATTATATAAAATATAATAAAAAAAATTACCCATTTTTTTTAACAGATATAATTATTATTTTATATCTATGTTTTTGATGTTTAGATGGACTAGATTTAACGTGTTGTTCTTTTTTCACCCTGTCCCCTGGTTCTACCCCCGGGGTCCGAGGAGTTTCTCCTGTAACTGATTCTACAGCACAGATCTATAAAAGGCCGCGTGGAGACACAGATGTTTTCCCCCAACAGGAACTTCCTCTGTTCGTCAGGGTTCAGCGGCGCTTGATAGAAAGTGAATAATCCAAACCTTGTTGACTCTGAGCATCGTAGACACGCAGGCCAAACAGCGGCGGTCTCTCACTGCGGAGCAACGTGACCTCACTGGTGGACAGGTCCAGCTGGAAGACCGACGCATTCATGTACTCCGTCCAAAAGATGAAATTACGATAATGGGAGATTCCGAACGGGTGGTTGAGCTCTTTCCCGTTGTACACCACCTGCAGGACACGGACAAACATGCAGCGTCATCAAAACCACGAGGAGAAGAACGCAGAGAAAAAAAAATCCATCATTTTAAAGAGGGCTCTGGCTGTTTGAATATTCCATGAGAAACGATTTGATTACAGCATGTGATGGATGTGATTTAATTTCTTTGAACAAATTTATTCACACAGCGCTGTGTGCTCTTATTAATGTGTGTTACAATCCTGGCATTGATTAAATATCATTTGGAAAATAATTCATTAGCCGTGTTATTCCTACACAGCTACAGCTGATCAGATCGTTGGCTGTGGAAGAAGAGAAGAGCAGATCTGAACTGGAACAACCGCTTCATACATGTTTGATGAAACCTCTGAACCAAAACCAATAACTTAAAACAGCCACGTTCTCATCATAAAAGTGAAAACATTTTTTTGAATGAACTGTACTTTCATTTTGATTTTCAAAAGGTCAAAAGTTGAAGTTCAGTTTCTGTTGTGACGACACTGTGAGTCACAGATAAACTCTGTGTGACATTTTCACTCATTATAATTAAACTGTCAGACATTTAAACATTTAAAGAGAATTCAATCCCATGGTCGTCTACAGTTGACTCAGGATTAATCAGGATTACACAGGAATTAATTACACATCCGTCTTAAATGTTTTATTATACTAATGTACACCAATGTCTTTTATTTACTATAAACACCGGTTTATAGGAGTAACATGTCTGTTTGTCCTATAAACACTGGTTTATAGGAGTAACATGTCTGTTTGTCATCTCTCAACAAGGACAACTATGGTCTACAATGTACTTCAAAAAATCAAATACATTTTTTTAAAAAAGGTCAAAATAAAAAGGGAAATATATTTTTCAATCTTTCACAATGTACTTCAAAAAATCAAAATACTTTTTTTTTTAAAAAAGGGAAATATATTTTTCAATCTTTAAGGAAAAAAATCCTAAAGACTAAGAATTTCTCTTTAGGTTTCAGTCATTTAGAATATCAAAAACAAACGTGGCGTTATTATTATTATTGTTATGATGATGATGATAAATTCTCTCCTGTGTTGATGACTCTGTCATGTGATGTTCTGCACACTTGAACCCACCAGTCTTCCAGTTCCGTTCAGGTGGATCTTCTCGATGTGGTCATAGTAGGCGTCGCACCAGTACATGGTGTTGGAGCCGTGGTCCAGCGTCAGACCGTTGGGCCACAGCATGTTGGAGGTGACGAAGATCCTCCGGTTGGATCCATCCATCCAGGCTTTCTCTATCCTCCCGATGCTGTCGTTGACTTCATCCTCCTCCCAGTCTGTCCAGTACATCCAGCTGTAACACACACACACACACACACACACACAGGGCAGTCATTACTCCATCATCAGAGGACAGGCTGCACGTACAGCCAATCACGTCCACTCCTGCTTTAGTCCTATATTTCCTACCTGACATCTTCATCTAACGTTTGTCTCTTCAGCCCCGCCCCCCCCCGCCCCCCTCCTTCTTTGATTCCACATCAATCAAACTACATGTGACAACACATTGTTTTATGAGAAAAAAATCAATCCTGTAAAATGAAAGAAAGAAAAAACAGAAATGGGACTTTTTTATTTTGAATAATGAAATTATAGTCAAAGATGATTTTTTTTTTAAGTTTCAACATGTTATAACTCTGAGGAACTTATTAACAAGTCAGTGTTGACATTTTATAGCTGTTATCTTTTCTTAAACCATGTAATAAATGAATGAATTACAGTAAACTCCCAGTTCAATTCTCAGTCTGGATCTGCAGCTCCCAGAAGGTCGGCTGGTCTGAATCACGACTGGACACCACATTCTGACATCATCTTTGCTCCGTTGCCATGACTTCAGGGATTTGCTGTGTAAGTGTTGCTGACTAATCTGCCCTCCCACTGCCCTCCCCTCTCACCCCCCCCGGCCTTCTCATCAATGGTACAGAGCCAGCTCAGGGAAGATGCAGCAGAATGGACCTGGAGGTGAATGAACTCAGACTCATCCCTGTAATAAATCATTCAGCCGTGCTGCACGCTCACACCGACGCACGTGCATCCAGACGTACACTGACGGATATGAACGTATACAGTACTGTGTATCTGATGGGTGATGGAAGCAGGTGAACAGGAGACGCACGCTGCCAGAGACACACACTAAAAAAGTAGATACTAATTTGAACTACAGTCAAGTTGAAACAGAAGATGAATCTGTGTGTGAGAGCTGAACGACGGTCGGTCTGTGCCTCACTTTACTACTGTGTTGTACTTCATGAAGGAGCGATGTTCATGGACAAATCTGCCAAATCACTGCGTCACTGGACTACGATACTGCAATACTGCCTACAATTGTACTTGCTAAAACTCTTGAGGAAAATACTTCTCCAGCCTCCGTCCATCATCATCATCACTATCATCATCACGCCTCCGTCCATCATCACCATCATCACCATCATCATCATCATCACTACCATCATCATCACTACCATCATCATCACCACCATCATCATCACTACCATCACCATCTACTGCTCCACCTCTGTCACATCAGGCCTGTATTTCTGGAGCTCCCATTTATTTTTCTATCCCGCCCACAAGTCCATCTATAAATTTCCAGAGGTTCTGATCCCTGCTGCCCAGCTTATGTTCAGAACCCTGTCTACCAACAACAGTCCAACCTCCACTGGCTTCCAATTAAATAAAACATCACTCACTCGCTCCTGCTCCTCACCTCTGAGGCCATTATCCACCTCACCCCTCAGAACCTCACCCATCCCTTCCACATCCACACACCCACTCCTAACCCCTCAGGTCAACTCCCTCCCACTGGCTCCTCCAGCTACTATGGGGGTTAAGAGCCTTTGGCCACTCGGCCCTTCCCTCCTGGAACACCCTCCCACCTCAAATCCAAAACTGCAGTCATATTTCAGATTTCAAATCCCAACTTGAAACTCACCCTATCTTTGTTTGGTATTTAGTTTCTTCTGTCCTGTTTGATTTCAATTGATTTATTAAGGGCAAAAAAAAACAAAACCCACACCATCATATCTCTGGTCAATGTGAAGTCAACAATGATTCCCAATCTGCATGTTTTTTGGACTAAGAGAAAGAAAACTTCAATGAAAAACACAAACCGACTCCAAAGTGAAAGACCGGGCATTGAACCAGCAACCCAGTGATGGTGGTGTTGTACGGACAGACCTCTGACACGTCTGTACATCCATCATATGGTCCTTAAAATCTCTATTTCTGTTAGAAAAGTCTTTTCCATCAGGCAGTTTGAGTCACTTCCTGTTTTAAAAACCATCATTTCTCACCGGCTCTGAACTCAGTCGGAGACGTTGACTTCCCTCCGACTTTTATTGATGGTTCTTTTTTTTATTGTTTTCAATTCCTTTCATGTTCTGTCAACTCTTGAAATGGGCCCAAACGCGGCCTCAGAGCCGTGCAGTATTTCACTGACACTTGTGACACGTGTTATTGGTTTAGGAGCGTATGTGAACACACCTGTGAGGTCACCACTGCAGTAAAGATAGAGAGGCAGGACAGCGTTAAGTTGACACTCGTACTCCTTATCACGTCAACACAGACTGAAGGCGGCAAACAGAGCAGAAAATTAGGCCGCGGGAACACATTCACCAAAACCGTCAGAGGGGTTCATCCATTACACACGACGACACTGTTCCTGTGGAGCAGATAGCGGTCAAAAACACTGAAGGGTTCAGGCCCAGGGCTCCCTGAGAGGACAGGAAGCAGCCGTTCTAATCATTTCTGCTGTCAGGTGGGAGGTGAGGGTTGAAATTCTAAACAGAGCAGCGTGCCGTTTCCTCACCAGAAGAAAAAGTTGAGGCTGCTATCTCTGCCTCCTCCTTTGCTGCTAAATCAGCATGTCCTACCAACGTCATGACTGCAGACGAGCATTCAATATTCAGCCTGAGATTCAGCTCCCATTCACACTGAAGACTCTCTCTAAATGTCACTGTCTATAAGAAGAAGAATCATAATAAGACAACGCAAGTATATTAGATCTTATTGATTATTATGTATTTAGATTTAGATTTAATGAAATATAATTTTACGATAAAATATCCTGAACTTTATGTTACAGTTACAGTTTTGTAACTGTTGTAACTGTAACAACTTTGTGTAATATTATGTGTTACAGTTACAGTTTTGTAACTGTAACTGTTGTAACTGTAACAACTTTGTTACAGGTTTGGCCAGTGTAGCCAACTCACAGTAGACCAGATCACAGTCAGAAATGGTCTTCTTCAGGCATTATTGATTCAAATTCTTATCAAGATCATCAACATATCAAGAACAATACCATTTTCAGAAACAGAGTATATTTGGTTTTCTTTTCTCTGACCTGTTAAGAGGGTCGACCACGATAGCCCTCGGGTGTGACATGTTCCCTTCCAGCAGGGTCTTCCTGGTCTGAGAGGCCGTCTCCAGTCTGGCAACACTGATGGTCTTCCTGTAGCCATCGTTGGTCCAGTACAGGTTATTCCCAATCCAGTCCACGGAGATTCCTTCCACGTTGTCAAGATCTAAAGTATAGTCAGAGAAAACACATGACTGTGTGGAAAGTACCAAGAAGAATCGTTCAGGGATTCATCTACAAAAGTGTTTCTATCACATAATCAATATTACGTTAAGTTAAAAATATGAAGTCAGTGAACCCTGGACTATTGAGAGACTACGGCCCAGACTGAGCTGAAAGAGCGACTGAGTGTTGGTAAGAACGACGATGTGTAGGTTGAAAATCCATGAGTCATCATTTTACAGCACAGTCTATTAAGTCTTCACTTGTGAGGAACGGGTGTTGTGTATGTTGTTGGATGATAAGCCGTTTAACTGTGTAAGTCCACTGAGAGAGGGGTAAAGATGGCGGCTACATGCTAAGCGGCTACATCTCTCTGTTAGCGTGTGTTGCAGCTTATTCTGTGAAAAGTCCTGCAGTGAAATATATTTCCTAAACCAGTCAGAGTTACAATAATGTTTTCTGATGTTTGGACCCACAGTGGAACGTTCTGTAGCACTGTGAACAGTGTAAACTGACATGAAAAATCGCTCATTAGCACGATGCTAAGGCTAACCCACCATCTTTGAGTATCGTCTCTCTGCCGCTTCCATCTATTTTCTGCCGTCCGATGAGAAAACTGGTTGTGTCGGCAAAATAGATGTGTCCAGTTTCTGCGTGATAGTCAATGGCCCGGGGATTCACCAGGTCTTTGATTGGAACTATGTGCTCATCACTGGACTTGATGTTCACGTCCAGACCCCGGATCACACCTGGACGCCCCTTACCATAGAACAGAAAGAGATCGTTCTTCGGCTCTGAAAGACAAAAGAAAAAGAAAAGAAAAGAGAGACAGGCCCTTTTACCTTTATAGTCGATTAATTGGGCTAATTCATCAAGGTTGAACCCAGTATTAAACACACATTGTTCCTACACTACAGCAGCCAAAGCCACAGCTATCTTCTCTCCTAATGGAGCCAGTAATCAGTGCCAATGACTCTACGATCCCTCCTCAATCTTGGTCTTTCCACACTGCTAGTGTAACAGTGATAGGAGGAGAATGCTTGAGCAAACACACGACGGTAACTCTCACCTTGGCTGTGAACACTGCCTTTGATCTAAAATAACAGTTTCTTGGTAGAAAAGCAAACAGAGAGACACAGAAAGCTGAGGCAGCTCCTCGGGGGGGGCGCAGGCTGTGGAACCCTCTGGGATGTTCTGGAGGCCCAAGAGCAGGTATGAAGGAGGGCTTCTACAGAGAGAAGCAGACCTCTCCTCCCTTTCAGCCCCTACCCAAGAGACCGTGACGCCGAGGGTGAGGACCACACATGCCTCACTTCAATTTATCATTTTGTGAGGGAGAGACCGACTACCCAGGAGACAATTAACCACTGCAGGAGACCCAGATATCAAACCCCAGCATGACTGTTGTATGAAGAAGCACTACCATTTAGCACTGAATCTCATTATGCTGAGGGAGAAGGGACGTACACGGAGGGAGAAAGATAGCTGGTGTCATCAGAACATCTCTGAAAGGGGAATAAATCAAAAGTGTCAAGCCCAGCCTCCCGGTGCTTCCTAATCCCGATCGAAACACGGTGGGCCCTCAGATTGTGCCATCAATTTGATGTTATGCTTTTATTGTCAAGCACACAATGTCCAGCAATTGATCAGGGCAGACAAACTTAAAACCTCATTATGACAATAATCAATCGGAATTTTGACAGTTTGATGGCGCCGCTGCTTCAAGACGTGCCCGTGTCCCACAGCAACTATTTTTATCACCCTGAGCCCAGGGCTGATGTCTGTGTGGGACGCTCTCAGCTCCGGCACCATGTGACCTTTACAGGCTGACACCAACAGCAGCTGATTGGAAGACATTAATAAACTGAGGGATCACTTAGAAAAATGGAAGTGCTCCTTTATTGGAGAATATATGGCTTGGCTTTTCTACTGACCATATGTAGAGTTATACTGTCCACTTTATAAAAACACTATTGGTTTTTCCTTTTCCTATTTTTTCCTTACTGAAGGTCTATGTGTTTTTCCTGTAATTCAGATTGTTATGCAGTTATTTTAAGTACCACGTGTGGGCCACACTCCACGTGGGCTAATCCAATCATAATCACTGGGTTTGATCTGGGAATATAAAAACAGTATAAAAAAGGAGGATATTTAAAATCCAAATATTAGGGCAGCAGTCGACCAAACTCCGTCAGGACTTTCTCATAATTTCTGTTGGGAAATTCTCCCAAATCCTCCTCGTAGCTCTGCTCCATCCCTAACTTTTCTGAAAACTAAAAAAACATTTCAAAGTAAATTGATTTTAGTCTTTAGATGAGACCAGGAAGCAGGCTGTGACCTGAGCCAGAATTCTACAAAGAAGAACTTCTCAAATGTCAAGACTGTGATGGAGGGAAATGACATTTGTTATTGTAGGTAAAGATCATTTAGTTCTTCTCTTTTATGTCAAGTAAAAGACAAAAAAAACAAAAATACACATGAATTTAAATCCAAGTCAAATAAAACTGACTTTTGCAGGACTGTCCGTTGGAGCCCAGGTTGTAGCCGCTTCGACAGCGACAGGATCTGGACTTGTAGCTGCCACTGAAGAGGCAAATGTGGGAGCATCCGCCTGGTTTACCGTAGGAATCCACTTCACAGGCGTGACTCCTAACTGAGGACAAAGTCAAAGACAAACGAGGAAACGTAAGAAGCTAACAAAGCCGCGTCCTTTGGGCGAACTCAGACTGTAGTCACACAACCGGGAAAATCCAGAGGCTCGCCGACATGTTGACCTAAAAAAGTGTTCCTTACCTGTTGGCTGAGTGAGTTTGTGGTACACACGCAGGCCTCTGGAATTCCCTAAGCTGGCTAATACTGTGCTCTCTGCAGTGAGGTTGAACCTGTGGATCTGCAGGAGCTCCACAGAAGAAGTCCCTTTGGACGGGTCGGAGCGAGTGGCGTAGAGGAAGTCTTCAAACACGGCCAGTGCAAAAACGTACGACACCTGAGAGAAGAAAATGTGGTGCCGTGTCAAGGTCTTCACTTCACTTGGCTCCAACAAATTTGAAATCCTACTTTACAGGTGCCGAACACTGCCCCCACATGTTTGTACAGAGTACTGCAGGTATAATAAAAACCATTCAACTGAATTAATAATCGTCATCAAACAAACAGGACGGAGACAAACAGACGAGCTGTAATCATTTATGTAACCAGGAGCCGCTCCTAGATCAACAAAACTGGGTTTTTTTTCACTCCACCCCTGGTGTGAATTCAAAGTGTGAAGACAGAACGGCCGAGCTGACCAGGTAAACTCCATTAGGCTGGTAACGTCTGATTTCAAAGTCCAATCACACGCTCTGTGAAGTATGATAGATGTTTTATTAGAGTCCGTCCACGCCGCTAAAATCTGAGTCTGAATTTTTGGCTGAAGATAAATGTAAGACATACTGAATAAAAGATTGGTCTAAAGTGCTCTGCTTTTACATCCTGTGGGG